ATTTAGGTCTTTGATCCATTTAGAGTTAATCTTTGTATGTAATGTAAGGTAACGATCCAAAATCATTCTTTTGCATGTGGATATCCAGTTCTACAAATACTATTTGTTAAAAAGACTGTCTTTTTAACAAACCCCATTAAATGGTTTTGGCACTCTTGTCAAAAATATTTTGACCATATATGTGAGGGTCTACTTGACTTTTTGAACATATAGAATAAGATTAGAATAACTTGCAATGTTTACCTGCCCATTTTAACATCCATTTCAATTGTGGGTTGGTTTGATTGCTTACTTCATTTATTTTGTTGCTTGCCACATTTAGAGCTGATAATCTTTGGTTGGATGCCAGACATTGAGAATTTTACCTTGCTGGGTACTGGATATATTTGTAATCCTATAAAATCCTCTCGAGCTTTGTTCTAGGACAGTTAAGTTACTTGGCAATGGTCTGATCCTTTCAGGTCTTGCTTATAAGATTTTTTTTTTTGGCAAATCCTGACCAGAGCTCATTCTAGAGCTAGTTGTTTTCCACTTCTGAGGCAAGACTTTCCTCAGTACTTTCCCTAATATTCTATGATACTCTGCCCAGTGCCGTGGATATAGGGAATAGACACTATTCCCCATCCAGGTGAGCAGCTGGCACTAATCCTTCCCTCTAATCCTTCTTGATGGTTCTTTACCTGGCTTCAGGTAGTTTCCTTGCATGCAGCATGGGTTAATACTCTGCAGAATACTCAAGGGGGAGCCTCTGCACATCTCCAGGAGTTTCTCTCTGTGCAGCTCTCCTGTCTGATACTCTGTCCTATGAATTCTAGTTACCTTGGTCTCCCCAGACTCTTAGCTCCATCTCCTCCACTCATGGCATTCACTGACTCCACTTCAGTTCTCCCTCCCTGTGCTGCTGTCTGAAAATCTCAAGGCAATAAGCTGGGGGCAATGATAGGCTCACCTCTTTTGTTTCCCATATGTCTGGAATCACTGTCCTTTATTATTCAACATTAGAGCCTTAAAACCACCATTTCATGTATTTTGTCTGGTTTTTCTAGCTGTGGTGGTTGTGGTGGGTGGGTAAATGTGATCCCTGTTACTCCATCGTAGCTAGAAACCAATACAGCTGCCTTTTTTACCTGTAAGATCACAGGATGTCTGTGAAGGGCTGTATGAGTTCTGATAAGCAGAAGGGCCACATACAGTATTTCCTTCTCACCCACCAAATGTGAATCTAAAGGGCCTGCTTCCTAGGAATCTTAGTTTGGCAGTGACTTGGCTCAACTTAAAGAACTTTTCTAGGTTCAGAAACCTTGCAATTGGACCTGAGCTGGCCCAGAAGTCAGCACCTTGTAAGCCTTAGGGCCATCACGGGGTGAAAATGCCATCTGGGGAAAGGGGTCCTGTAGAAGGGCTGAATTATGACTGTGAGCTCATAGAGATTATGGTCTTAGCTGCCCCACTGACATGGACAGACATTTTCCACCTTGGTGTTTAGTCTAAGAAAGTCATGGTACCCTGCTACCCCTTGCCAGTAATTGTTTCAAGGGTGAGCATGTGACCTAGTTCTGGTCAGTAAAACACAAGACCAGGAAGGTCTACAATGGTCTGTGTGAGAGGTTTCTGCCATTTTAAGGGGAGGCATGGTAAGACAGTTTGCCTTTTTGGAGTTGCGATATTGCAGTATGTCTCTTAGAGCTTCTGCCATCATCTTGGCACCAATCAGAAGGGTGGCAGATCAGAGAAGATGGTCCAAGTCCTTGAAGATGTCATTGAGCTGATGAATAGAATAGCCCCAAAGCCTGTCTCACCTCTAGATATTCATGTAAGGAAAAAAAATCTATTCTCTAAGTTAATTAAAGTTAGAATTTCTGTTAGTTGCAACCAAAAGCACTATCACTGAGCCAGCCATGCAGAGGGCTGGAGGTGCATGGGGAAGGGAAGGCTCCTTGAAGGGACTTTTTCCTTCCAATAAGGAATTCCAGTTTTCTCCCTTAGATGAGATATGCTGAAGGCCACACAGTGGGGAGTTGTCAAGAGCAGAAAGGCTGCACCAGGCCTATCAGCCTTCCAACTGGTGCCTATTCCACCATAGCCCTGCACCCTGGGATCCTGAATCAGCTCTAATGGTGAGGCCTGTGGGTGGGTGCCTCAAAGTTCCCAGACTCATGTCAATGTTTAATTCTCCTGCTGAGCAAGGACAAGCAGACACCAGCAACTTCCTTGAATTTTTGTGCTGAAATCATGTCGTGGGAGGAAAATATCAAAGTCTCCCGAGCTGTAATCAAGGCAGTTTCAGATTACAAGCAATCGCCACAGTTTCAGGACAGATTCTTCTCAGATTGAACAGAACTTGTCCAAAGTTCCTTTCCAGGTCAACAGAATAGGGCAGAGAATGGAGGTGAGCAAACTCCAGATCTGAGGTTTGTGTTTGCTCTCCACTTCAGAGCAGGAAGCCCCTTCCTTACCCTGGCCTCCTATCTCTACCACTGGAGCTTGTGGAAGCCAGGGGCCAGCTCTCTCTAGTAGGCATCGGGAGCAGGTCCAGGGACATTTATTGCCTCAACTCCAAAACTGCTTGGAAAAGGGCTGCCTTGGGCAGTAGAAAGTTCTTATCCCTAGGATATTCAGTCCCTGAAAGGGCTTTCAGCAGGCTTCTGTGCCTTTGTACACCCTGTCCCCTTGCCCACCTGGAAGACCCTCCTGACCGTCGAAGATGTGGAGCATTCATTCAATCCACAAAGCATTACCGAGCTGCCGACTATGCCAGGCGCTATTCTAGGTGAGTGGGATTCAGCAGTGAATAAAACAAAGTCACTAAGAGTGTACAGAAAAAAGGAGATAAATAAATATACAAAATAATATGAGGTGGTTGTAAGTGCTATAACAAAATCCAAATCAGAGAAAGTGGAAGGGAGAATGACAGGGTCAGGGAAGACTTCCCTGAAGAGGTGAAACTGGAGCATTTGAGCTGAGAAACCTTAATGAAGTGAGGAGCCAGCCATGCAGATATCTGGAGAAGGTTCCAGGCAGAGGGAACAGGAAGCAAGAAGGTTTTAGGTGAGGTTTCAAGACTAGCAAGAGCTGGCATAGTTGGAAAGTGATATGAGCAGGGAAAGGTACAGGAAATGAAGTTGGAGAGGTGACCAGAGGTCAGATCATGAATCTTGCAGGTTGTGCAGAGCACATTGGCTTTTCCTCTTGTGTGAAATTGGAGCCATTGGAGGGTTTGGGGCAGAAGGACATGGTCTGACTCAGGTTTAGAGAGCTACTCTGGCTAATGTATCCATGTGAAGCCCTGGCACATAGTAGGTGCTCAACAAACAGCAGTGGTTTATCACTGCTTTTCAGCCTCACCATTAGACCCTTGAGCTCACTGAGGGCAGGGACCAGAACACAGTCATCTTGTCTCTCCAGTGCCCAATATAGAAGGGGTGCTAAGATGTATGGATAAACAAATGAGTGATTCGGGGCATGAACGAGTGAGCAAGCAGGAGTGGGTTCTGAGGAGGAGACTCACGCCACAGAAGAGTGGGTAAGACATGCAGTTGCTATAATGTGAAGGAAGCAAGCCACTGGCCATGCAGCAGAAAGAGCAGGTGAGCACCGGTTTTAGTGAAGTGCTGTTGTCTAGGACTTAAGGGCATGCAGGATGCAGGAGCCAAAGTGCACCTGCCAACCCTCAGGTGCAGGTCAGACAGAACACATGGGGCACCACTTTCCAGGATGGCCAGCATGCTTACAGGCTCACCCTTATTCCCCTGGGAGCCTCAGGGACAGGCATTTGGCACAAAAAGGAAACCCACAGGGTTCAGCCCAACCAGGCACTGGTGCCCCAAATTCAGGTTTTAGGGAGTACTTGGGAGGTGGCAGAGATTGTCATGGGCAAGGCAATCATGGAGAGCTTCCTAGAAGAGCTGCAGCCTGGACAGATGGATAAGGTTCAAACTGAAGACATTAGAGATGTGGAGTTGCCGACACTCTCCTCGCCTCCAGCTGCCCTGGGAGATCGCCCTACCACTGAACCACACCTGATACTCCTCCGCACTATCCACAGGATAATACCTTGGGTTGGCATTCAGAGTTCCTATTTTCAGAAAGTGGCCTCAACCTACCCATCCAGCCTTGCCTCTCCCAAGTAGCCACACCCGGGGCACCTGCCGTGCCCTAAACACGTCATGCACTTTCATACTCTAGGGTCTTTGCTCATGCTGTTAGCTCTACCAGGAATTCCCTTCTCCAGCCCTACTTTCTAAACTACTGCCCATTCCTCAAAGCCCAGCTCCAACATCCCAGCTTCAGAAAAGTCTCTACTCTCTGATCCCACATCACATACGGTTGGGGTGAACTGCATGCCAAGCTGGACTAAGTTGGGTTCTTTCACCCCGGCTTGACTGTTATGTATGTACCAGGTAGGCCTCTTGTCCTGGTGATATTATTAGTAGTGAACCCTTTCACTCCCAGATGTGTTCCAGCTGGACAAATTATATGGTCATCCTATATCACCCCCACCCTTCATCACGCAACTGAAATCCTTTGGGCAAGAACGATGCCCTGTTCTTTATTTCCTCAGAGCCTAGCATAGTGACACATACGGATAGTCATTCACTCACACCAGTAGTTTTTGAGGTGTTGGACATTGAACCATATGGGACAAAATAGCAGGCAAATGGGTCCCTCGTCTCCTGACACATGTGAAAGGGGAAAGGAAGAAGTTGAAAACAAGATCATCTCAGTTACAAGTGATACAGAGAAAATCATGCAGGGAAGGAGAAAAGAGATGGGAAGGGGCAGAGGATTATTTTGGACAGGCTGGGCAGGGAAGGTCCCTGATGAAGAGGCCTGAATGAATTGAATTGAGGAAGACAGAGATGAGACTATCTGCAGGAGGAAAATTCCAGAAAGAGGGAAAAGTGCAAAAATCCTAACCTGGGAACATGCTTGGTGTATTTAAGGAGGAGCAAAGAGCACAATGGGGAGATCAATGAGAGATGTTGGCAGACACCAGGAAATTCAGAGCTTTGTCAACCAAGGAATTGGGACTTTATTTTTATTTCTTTAAAATTTTTTGGCCAGTGGAGGGTTTTAGATGGGGGAGTAACATGATCTAAGTTATTTTTTCCCAATAAAAACCGCAAAGTTTTTATTTTTTCATCATGCATATAGAAGACAAAAGTGCCACGAATTCTCTTCTAATTGGACAAAGCAACTACAGGAACATTTCTTTTAAGAAGCAGCAATGTCAGCTACAGCGATGTCAGTTACAACACAGCCAGCAGGGCACAGAATCATCATAGACCCTCAGAGTTACAGATTTCTTTCTGGAGGTTATCCTTACAGAACATGGTAACAACTTCTAGTCTTAAGTCCTACAAAACCACCTTATTCAAACTCATTCTAAGTACAGAGTTATAGTAACAGGCCACAACAGCTTGATAACAACTGTGAACAGTCACATAAGTTTCTAAATGGCAAAGAAGAATTACACTGACAGCCTTATAAACATTCTCAACTAAAAGCAACAAACAGGCCTGTACAGCTCAATTTCTCCAGTGGGCTGAAACAGAGAAGGAGATTCACAAGGTCTTACTCAAAAGCAACAAAATAAAAAGCATATAGCATTAACTTTCTACATACAGAAGGTCATACTGAAAGAAAACCTCTAAAGTTGCAGTGTTCTGCTACTCTTCTCGTTTACAAAATATATTGGTGAATCTGGCTGGCCAATTAGCTCGGTTAGCGTGCAGTGTTATAACACCAAGGTCAAGGGTTTGGATCCCCTGACTGGCCAGCCGTCAAAAAAAGCAGAAAACAAGAAATGCAGGGAGGGACAGCTCACAGGAACCCACAGGGAGGGGGAAGGGGTTTGGATCTGGTGGAGGGAGAAGAGTTGGGGCTAAATTTAGTCTAAAAGAGCACAGCATAAAATGAAATGATTATTCCGGCCACTGGGGACTTCTCGTCTCTCTGTTCAGAAGTCCTGCATGTCCCCCTTTGAAGATTCTAGGCCTTGCTAGAGGGGGTGGGGCATAGGAGCAGGGGGGCAAAAAGAACGCTGGCAGTCTACAGGACAAACTCTCCCTCTCTGAGCCATCACTTGAATGAAAAAACGATGTGAGGTCTGAGTAGGTGTAGACAGGCTCCATGACCAGAAACACCACCCGCCCCAGCACCAGCAACCTGGCAGCCTAAAAACAAGGGAGGCAACGGGAGCTGGCAAAGGGCCTGGCTTCTGTGTGGGTCCAGTCACCAAGGCTTCTGGGAGGGATGCCATCCTTGCCCTCACCTAAAACACATGCTCAGATATGCCAGCCTGCCAGAGTTCTCGGGGGATTAGGGCTCTCCTGTGCATTAGCAGGTGGCCCACCTGTGTCCAGAGGCAATTCTTGAGGTGCTTGTAGGCCTGGGAGAAGGCAGCAGGACTGATGGTGGCTTGGGCAAAACTCGTTGGGCAAAACTACAGGCACTGGTGTAGTACAGCACAGACATTCACAAGCCAACAGCAGGCTTTGTTGCAGGACCAACATGGGGAGGAAGAGCAGTGTGATCACACAAAGAATGTGCAGTCCACTTCTTCATGCCCTTGACCTCACCCATGCCCAGCAGCCTGGCTGCATGCCCATTCTGCCAGATGCTGAACAGTCCCTTTGGTAGTAGCCTGGCCTGTAGTTCTGAGGGCATGGAATGTCCAAGTCTGGTTGGCAGCCAGCACCAAATGCACCCACTTCACCTTGGGTGATGAGGCTCACTCATAGTGTGCAGGGGCATCGTTGAGCAAGGCTAACATGATGTAGCCTTCAAGCAGGAGACCTCAAAGAGGCACTGGTCCCCCTAGTGATGACTTGTGGGTGCCTGTGTCAACAATGGGTGGGAAGGCCATGGTCACAGATATGTGCAGGCCATGAAGATGATGGCAGTACACATCCATAGCACTGGGTGCTTACTGTAGATGAGTGGTGTGTGACAGTACTGTGATGCTGACACAGAACAACATGAAGGCCACATGGAAACAGCAGAGATTAGCCATGAAGGCCACAATCTTGGAGCTGAGTTCACTGAACATCCAGAGGAGCCAGAGTGCACAGAAGAGAAAGCAGATAGCAGAGTGTATGCTGTTGGCCTGTGTGCAGGTCCACAGGAGGCAAAAGGGGATCTTACATCAGTGCCACATCTCTGGGCAGTACTTAGCCAGACTGGAACCCATAGGGCCTAGGAGGGGCCTCTATGGGCCACCTGGCTAGGCCTCGCCTGGCTCTGCAGGGCCTATCCCCCAGCAGGTAGTACTGCAGGGGGTTAGGCCACAGGTCATCTTTAATAATCTGGGCAACCCTGTCTGCCTCTGGGAGACTGTGCTGTGAAAACCAGCTAAAGAAGCTTCGGACAGTGTCCCGGTTCCTGTGTATCAGGGCCGGGGGTTCCTGGCCCCGGTGCCATCGGATGCGAGTTGCAATAGACACCACCTGACCTGAAGATCTGCACTCATACTCCTTCACGATCACCTTGTTCTGGAAGTAGGGGTTACTCCAAAAGCGGAACTTGAATTTGCAACCTGTCCTGGTGTTCCTGAGCTCCCTCACCTCCAAATTTATCAGGTAACAGAGCATGTCTTCATCTCGGGGGCTGATCATGGCTGACAGCTGCGGGTGGTTCAGGAAGGCGGTGACCCAGAAACCCGGAATATTCTGGATGATGAAGCTCCTACGGGCTAGGTGCAAACGACGCATCCGCCCAAATCTGCGCTCAAGGCGGAGGTAGGCCCTGTCAGCCTGGGCACTCACGGCCTCCAGCTCCCACTGGATGGCTTCCAGGGGGTCCACAACTAGGCCGCCAAGGTTCAGGGGCCCCGGGCCCTGCCGGGACTCCGCTCCCACCTCCAGCTTCTCCTCTCCCACCTCCAGCTTCCCCTCCCCCACTCGCTGCTTCTCCACCTCCTCCGTTGTCTCCTCCATGAAGATGGCGCCCTCCCCAGTCGTCACTTCCTCGGCCCTCCCGCCGGCTCCCGCCCTAGCCCCCAACGCCTCTGCGCCACAGGTTTCTGGAGCCTTGTTCTCCAGGCTCGGGACAGTCGCCGCGAAGGCCGCTTCTCGGCGCCCGGGGGCAGGTGGGGCGACCCCAAGGCCCGCTGCGGGGTCCGGGCGCGAGTCCCCCTCCTGCGCGGGGCCGGGCGATGGGCGCGCGGCGGTGTCCAGGGCCCCCGCCCCCTCGTCGGCCATCACCTGCCGGGCTTCTGGCCTGGAGCGGCTGGGG